TGACACCAGTCAATAGTCCGTTGACGAAGAGACAGTAAAATATCCTATGTCTTCAGTAATATCGACTGCGCGAGAAAGTCTATTTCAAGAAACATGATCCAGTTCATAGAAAGGCTTCCTCACACCATAGTAATAGTTCTACTCTTCATCGCGAGAAAATATCCGAAAGTCGAACGCTACTTCACGACAAAGAAGGAAAAATTGATTGCAGTCGCTGAACGCATCATCTGCCGGCAAGCGCAAATGACTAACCCTCCGAGTGACGCCATTAGAAAACAACTGAATCTGTACATGTGTGAACGTACCAGCTTATGGAAATCAAAGAGGACTAATCAAAATGCGAGTATACATCAGCATACCATTGAATCGATCTTCCTTCCGAAAGAGAGTAATATCACAATACTAAACATCCTCCACGTCCGTCGCATGCGCCACCTCTGCGGAGTCGAAAAAATATTGGAAAGGCAAAAGCAAAACCGTTCTCGCCACCAGACTTCCCGCATACCCTCCAGAAAGAGTGACGAACCGCAGTACCCATTCGAGAGAAGCGGGATGGACTACATGGGCCTTTCAACTATAGCATAAACAACCTTTCTGCTTCCAATTACTGGATCATCCCTATCACGTGTCTGAATACCAGAGCGATTTTCAGTGAAATTGTGACCAGTATGAGTGCAGTTGCTCTTCTTCACGTAATACGACGGTTCATCGCGACCAACGGTTTCCCACGCTGGATAGTGTGCGACAGCGCCAAAGTTTTCAAGACACTCAACGAAGTTCAGTGCGCTCAAGACGAAAGTAAGCGATACCACCATCGCAGATTACTGCGCTAATCACAAAATCCAGTTGAAATTCATAGCAACTCACAGCCCATGACAAGGGCAGTATATGAAAGAACGGTTGCTATTTTCAAATCATCATATCAAGAGCAGTTGGAAACGAACTCTACGACATAGAAACTCTGAAAACTCTCGTGGCAGAATGCGGAGCCGTCTGTAATTCCCGTCCACTAACCTACGTAAGTGAAGAACAATCACAATTCCCTCTCAGACCAATCGACTTTTTGCGACCAACAGCAGTGATCGCTACTCCTCAAATCGGAAACTTGGAAGAACTCGGACCACGGAACGATCGTTCAAGAAGACCTCATCGAAATGTGGAAGTCGACGAACGAAAAACTAAACCTCTTTTAGAACGATGGCAGTCGGAGTACTAATGAGCCTCAGAGCACTCCCACAAGCACCCACGTCTAGAAAATAGGACTCAACACCCAAAACTTCACGATCATGTCAACATTCAGGACGAAAAATTGAGGGGAGGTCAATGGAGAATGGCCAAATAATCAGATCCAACGATCAGTTCAGTACAGTCAGATTCGTCTAGCAAATAAGGAGGTAATCATCAGACCTCTGAACTTGAACAGCCCGTTCGAAGTTCATCTGTTGAAAAAGAGTATCTTGCTGAAGAGATAGGTGGAAATCCCAGACAAAAGAACAATCGTTCTACTCATTTCATGCTGACTAGATCAAAAGCGAAACTCAGCTCTTCGCTCACTATTGTAACTATCATCTTCACAGCACTCCTATCTCCATGTAGCGCGTCAGATGTCGTAACAAGCACCAGGTGTCCCAGAACAGTATCAGTAGCCACGAGAATCATCTATGGCGAATCATCTATGGCGTGGAAAAAGGTGTCGCAGTTGCAGCCATATGGAGAACGTCAACAATCAACAACGCTTGTGTTGGTTTCCTATCCAGTGTCCATCAGGACACATTCATATACCAATTCCCTTGCCTCCAAACTCCGGATATTGCGGAAGCAAGTGTTTTTGCCCAAAATGGACAAAGAACTTGCTCATCCTACAAGTGGACAACATAAGGAAGCATCACAAGCCAACAAAGTTCCTTCATCGATCTTCTACAAACCGCCACATGTATGTTCGTTTTACAAATCATCAATGCGCTCGAGTTCTAAAAAAGTGGAAATTTTTTATCACGTTGAACTCTATGATGGCACTATAACAATTGTACCGGAAATAGGTATCATGGCAAGGCAATTTTTCAATAAGGAGGATTACTACTGCTTCTGCTACGATGAAAAATTGGTACCTAATCTAATTTCGGTCAAAACATCGAAATCCGGCTCGCCTGCATTCTGTAGATATCACACATGCTTAAAACCAACAACAACAGCTGGATCAGTCTTCTGCACCTACTACACACCCATAACAGCGCTTGACAACATGAACTCATCGATCGGGCTCGGGGAACAGCACCGAAAAATATTTCCCTCATAAGAAAGATACTGAAAGTTCGAGAGGCAGTACTCGATCCCAAGGTGTCATCGAGCAGGATTAATGCTGAGACGACCAACACTTGGGATGTACTGGAAAGCTGTAGCGCATCAACATGTATTTTTGTAGACAGCTATCAATCCAACCACGCCGATATTGTTTCGGACATCAATGTTAGTAGTGATGTTCGAATACGAAGTTTTATTAAAGGCAGTTGGCACGATGGTTTCCTACTTAGCCTAAAATGCTAGTAGGGCGCTGTATAGTGGGGAAATGGCGAAAGAACGGAGTGAAACGGTCAAAATCCTGCGAAGAAAAAGCCTCCGTTCTCAGTGACTTGTAAATCGATTTCGGACGAGTTTCCCGTAGGCATCTTACCAATCACCGCTACCGAAGATACGGCTGCATATGTGTACCCATGTATGCATGCAGCATCACGGCCGCTTCATACCAATCCCTTCGCTTCATAATTTGCTTAGCAAATGAATGAATACGAGCGAACGGTCGTCCATTTGTGGGCGGGCGGGCGTGGCGGGCGTTTGGGACGTAAAGTTGTGGCTTGATAGGGCCCTTATAAGGGCACCTTCCTCGGGGAAACCGCTATGCAGCCCAGGGTCGCGGAATTCTATCCTGCCAGGAGTATTGATCCTAGTCGTCTTGGGGGATTTATCGTGCCAACTGCCTTTAATCTTCTACAGTGACGCCTTGGCAAAGAGTATTTTGTTTTAGTTTTCTTTTCCTTTTTTTTGTTGATCTCAATTTTCTAGGAATCATGGAATCTGTATAACGATGTCTGGTGATAAGTCGTCAGTAGTGTTCCAACGCTGTTTCGGAAATGATGAACGACTTGTTGAAGAAGCGAGCGTTTGGATGAATCAGTTACTCGAAATCTCACTATGACTTCGCTCAGCTGCAATACTAGTTACTGATAGTTGAGTATGTGTCATCATGAACTTGTGCAGGTTAGATCCAGTAGGGTTATTCAAAGTCATCGATAGAGACTATAATTTCAATTGCCGTGGATCTGAACCTGTTTTCTCATTCGTCGCCGCTTTCGTTGACGTGCAAATTTCTCGAAATCATTTTGTTTTTGATTTTTTTATTCCGCATTCTCCTTCATCGTGTTCGTGTCGTCGTCCTCATAGAGGTTTATTTTGGCGCTATTGTATCGGGGAGGGGGGTGGGACTTCCCGAAGCGCCTCTGTATCTCCTCCCTAGTCAAGAGCTAGGCTTAGAGCGCAGCGCGGCCTTCCAGAGGACTGGGCAGCGACTCTGGCTGTATGCGCTCTAAGCCCAAGCGCTGGGTGATCCGCTCCCCCTTCCCTAATACGTCAGCGCCGTTTATTTCGTCTCCCTTCCCTTAGCTAGAGTTTTTACATGCGTATGATCTGTTATTGTTTCGTTTGGTATACCGGTGAAAACCGTGTAGAAATTCATGACTACTGAGTGATGTATGGGTATCTCTGTAATCATTTATTCCATTGTGCATTGTGAATAGTAAAGCTTACTGATTCCGTTTTCTCGGTTTTTGGTTCATTTGAAGGGTACTTCTATGCCCTCAGTTGCTAATACTGGTGCTCGAATCGGTAGGCAAACAGTGGGCGTGGTCGCTGTTTGTCGACGGGGGGGGGGCATTTTGCACTATCATTGCTTCCTCAGTTCCGGTTTACATGTCTCACTCTGGCGAAACCTGTGAACTCTTGTGAAGCTGGAACAAGGTAGTCAAGCCATCATGTTAAAACCTGTCAACTCGAGAAGAGGCTGTCTAGATAGGCCGACACGTCGATGAGATGAGAAGTAGCGGAAGTGCAAAATGCCCCTCCCACCGTCGACGACTGCGCCACAGTGTGGGGGGGCGGGGGGCTTAGTCGATACCATCGAGCTGGTATTTCTCTTTCTGAATAGCCGAATAGGCAGCCTTCATATATGGAGAATCCGCCGTTTGGGAAATAGGCGACTGGATCAGATTCCTCGGCTTTTTCGAAGGGTTATTGCTACTGGCAATCCGTGAAGGCACCGTGGTCGCCGCTCGGGTGGGCGTATCTGGCGGCACCGAGCCACAGCGTACGAGTTGTGTTGCCCCATGGCTTGTTCAGTTTGTGAAAGGGATCAGGACGGACGGTCTGCCAATGTAATGCTGGCCATTCGTAAGGAAGTCGTGGACTGAGGCGAACCCGCTGCTTCAACCACAGCCTGTGGATACGGCAGTAGGCAGATGGTCTATGGTGCACCGCGACCGCGTTGTCACCCTAGCAGGCCTCAGTATGCCATAATCTACTCCGGACAACTCGTCCACACGAGGCGGTGCAACTGTGGTGCACGATGTGGGTGCGACCTACCCGCGATGGAATTGCCCGTCTTACGTCAAAAGCGCTAGTGGACGCTGTCAGTCGAATTGCAGCCTTTTCCGCGAATTCTCTGGTTTTGCGCATTTCCTCCGATCGTGCTTTCTTCGACCGGTACTTACACTTTCCTTTGTTGCCGGTTCTCCGGATTCACGGATTCTCAACATCCGCTTGGTATAACCGTAATGTCTACACGGTAATGTCTACAGTTCCCAGTTTGCAACTCACGGAATCGGTGGTTAGTAGATGCGTAACGATTTTTCCCGGTCGGGTGATGGGCCGTCTGTCGATTCAGCGGTGGACACTGGAGCATGTTTGTCATCACCTTTGTTCACTCATCACTGAATAGTTGGTGTCGCAGATTATAAGCGCTAACTAACTGCCCTGTCAGAAAGCAAGCCAGCTGGCGGTGTTATTTATTTTTCGTTCGTGAATTGCTTTTTGCGATGAAAACAGCAGGGAACTTTTGTGAAACCGCCTGCGCGCATCAGTGCTATAGCATTGCGCTACTTCCAAGTGGGGGGGGGGCTTCGGGAATCACTGCGTACATTCCCTTTTTCACGAGCAATGTGTGGCTATCCTCAAGTTCCTCACCTTAAAAGTTACGCGCTATCCTAGCTCAAGCAAATCGTAAGCCAGCGTTCAGACCTCGCGACGGCAGCGCTTCGATCAATGTAGGCGAAAGCATGCGCATCGATCGTCGAATCGCGCGAA